AAAAACTCACAAAATAACAGCGAAGCGCACAACTATCCATAAATGATTAATGAATTCGGAATGAAAATAATTGTGTGTAGGTAGTGATTTAAGTGATAAATAAATAGTTTTGTTAAAATTGTTAAATAAATAAATCGATGCAAATTCGTAAAATATGACTCACACACAATATAAACTCGACTATATACAAATTATTAATAAATTAATTATAAGTTTCAAAAATTTTAATACATTACTTAAACATGCACAAATTCACGTTATTCATTCACAGTACTAGAGACACTCAAATTCAACTCTTTTGCTGTTAATTTTTAATAGTAAATGTGTCGTCGATTAAAGCAACATCGCCGTCATTCTATTAACAAAATGTATTGATGTTGGTGCAAAACGAAGCTGTTTTAATCAATAATAGAAGTGTTGTTGATTTTTTAACAGTAGAAAATCCTCACCAGGAGACGAGAGTAAATATTGAGTGTAACTATTTAATAAAAAATAAATAAAATATGACTCACTTCTTATTATGGAAGTGATTATGTATTACATGATTAAGTAGTTATGAGTTTTAATGAGACCTATTTAATGACTTGTTTGTCTATTAGTGAACGGTTATATCAGGTGACACGAGAGTTGATACGAACCTGACACACACGATTATAAAATTGATACGATTATTAAATATGTATAATAAATAATCTAGACTAATGTATAATATTTAAAACACACTAAATAAAATTTTTTTATCCATAAATTTTGACACGACCACGATAAGAATAATAATGAAATGATAAAAAAAAATACAACACTTAAATTACACAATACAACACGACACAATTGACACATTTAACCTTTAGTCCATTAATATTCGTTATCTTATGTATAATTTATTTTCTTAAGATCAAGGGTTCAAAACTCATTTCCCTCTCTCCCGCCCCCTCCCCTCCCCCCCCCTCCCCCTCCCCCAAAAAAAACCCTTAAATATTTTTTTCAGAGACACCCAAGGCTCGGCTGTCATACTTATCAACGTACTTTCGCGTGACTTTAGCACTCCTACCAGGAGGCATTCTCAGCCCCTAGTCAGTCGAGTGATATAAATTAGCGGCCATAATTCGATTCGTGAAAACACAGATCCGCTCAATTTTCACCCTACTTTTTACTTTTCGTGGACACAAAGCTCTATCTCTTCATCCATCCACTGGTTTTTCTTTTTTTTTTTAACAAGGGAATATATGCAAACTATCTCCTTAAGAAAGCAAGTGATTTCGTTTACTTCAACCGATCTTCTGGATCTGAAATAAAGTAAGGAAAAATCAACACAGCTGAAGCTTTCTTTTTTTTTCATCGGGTCGTTTTATCTTATTCATTTTCAAAAATTAGAGTTCTTTTTTCCACCCTCTTTTTCAATCCAGCAGAGAACGAGAAGGATATTATTTCGAGGAAAAACGAAAGCTTCACAATCTGGCTAAAAAGAGGTTTGATTTCAATCACGCCCTTAGTTTTTGTTTCAAGATGTCTTGTTTTTTTTATTTTTTTTCTTTTCTTTTGTTTTTGTAATGACGAATTGCTAATTTATTGATTGGTTTTGTTTTTGTTTTATTCGGTTATGTTTTAGTAATTGTACATAGGTTATGTTTTGATTTTTTTTTTTTCGATTAATGGTTATATGATTTCACATGTATGTGTATATGTTAAATTTATCAAGCATCTGATATTATGTGGGTTATTTGGTTCTAGTTCAGCTACATTGTTGAACTCTTATGAAAGTTCTCCCTTTTAATTGAAGTTGGAGTTATCTTGACAAAAACTGAATATGGTATTGTATGTATATATCTTATATATACGCAAAATGAGGCAACAAGGTGCGACAATATCGCAGCTGTGGGAGATTATCTCGGATCACGCTTGGGATCATGCTTGTTGACTGTATCAATTTTAACACTCCCATTCAAGTTGTAATGTATATTCATGACACCTAAATTGCCAAGTAAAGATGAAATTGTGATAAGCCAAGAGCTTTAGTAAAAGATCAGCTGGTTGCTGAGTTGTAGGCACACAATTTGTATGGATGATCCCTACCTGAAGTTTTTCACAAACTATGTGACAATCAATTTCTATGTGTACCTATTCAAAAAAAAAAATTATATGTGTTCTGTCTGTGCGGTCATGATAAACTGGGTTTGATGCCGTATGAAGAGGTGCTTGATATCCGTTATAGACTGACAGGATGGGGGTTCTCTGCTATTAAATCTTCTAATACATGTTTTCACCAAAAGATCTTGCAACGTTTTGCAGCCATAGATCTGTATTATGTTTTAGCTGATGAACGCAACACAATTGTTTGTTTCTTTGTCTTCAAAGAAAAGGGCAATTGCCCAGGTAGTATGCAATACCCAGTAATTGACCATCTAGTATCCCTACAGTTTAGCCTGTTTGCACCACAAATGCACTTAATTGAATTGGACTAGTGGCTGATAAAAGAATTCCTTGACCTGACGTTTGCTTAATATATCGTAATATTCAATGTGTTGCATCCAAGTGAAGCATGCATGATGTATCCATGAATTGTCTCAACACATGCACTACAAACACTAGATCTGGTTGTGTAATGGTAAAGTAAATCAACTGGCTAATGAGTATCTGAAACAAAAAACGATTTACCAAGAGTTCTTTGTCACACATGCACTAAATTTATGTTGAGAATGAGAGGTAGGGTTTACAATTTTCTCTTCTCATCTCTCACAGTTTCTCCACAACTATTCTCTCTTAAATCTCTAAACTTCACAGGTTGGAAAAATGAAACCCAGCAGATTCCTTTTCTTCACTTTGTCATTCCTGCTGCCGTCATCTTCATTGATGGCGGTTCACTCTGACTGATCTCAAAGGCACAATGGCTAAATGAACTTGTGTAGATCCAATCGAAATCCGACGTATGTAATTTTATGCAGAAAAAAATTTAGCAACATCTGAGTTGATTTCTCCTTTTGATATCTGCCCGAATCTGATCTGTGAATGGTTCAGGTGGAATCTTCGACATAGTTCAATTTTAGGTGTGCAACTTGGGCGGGCCAACCCGAACTCAACAGGGCTTGGGTTAAGGTTTTTAATACTTGGGTTAGGCGTGGACAGAAAATACCAACCAAAATTGAATTTAGGCAATACTCGGGTTGAAGCATCGAATTACTGGGTTCAATCCGAATATACAAATCGGACTTAATCCGAATATTAAATTGGGTTTAATCCAAATATTTAATCGGACTCAACCCCAATATATTTTAAAATAAATGTGTAAATCAATGTAACAATATAATTTATAATTTACAACACTAGAGTTCACTCTTCTGATTCAAACTCAATGATTGGGCTCGTCCCTCACTCAGACCAGACCCTCATTCTCACATCCTCTCTCAATTCTCATCTCACTCGTCACTCCTTCTCTCAGCCAGTCAGGCATCACGCAGTCACGCCTCAGCTCAGCCTCTCTCTCTCTTACTCCCTTTCTCAGGCGTCACGTATCTCAGACCCTCACAGTCGATCTCTCAGATATGTGCCTTTTTCAGCCTTTCTCTTCATCGATCTCATCTCAGATGTGCACCTCTAGTCTCAGCGAAGACCTGGTGGCTGTGGCAGTGACTTTGTTCTTGTGGTAGTGGGCAGTGGCTTGGTTCCTGTGGTAGTGAGTGGGGGTGTTTTGATTTAAGTTTTTGTGTTGTTTTGTGTTTATATTAGACAATGTACTATAATTTCGGGCTTAAACAAACTCAATCCGAATCCTAATCCAAAATTAGCTCGAATTATGTAACTCGAACCCAACTTGAAATTAGCCCGAATTCAACCTGAGCCTTCCCGAATTAAACTTGGGAAGTACTCGGGTTGAGGTCGGGTTAGGGTTAGGGTTAGAATTAGGGTTGAAGATTATATATTTAGGATTGGGTTAGGGTTGTCCCCTCAACCCGCTCGAGTTTGCACCCCTATTCAATTGATATAGTTATCGTCGGCTCTTTGGATAATGATTGACTGGTGCTTTCTCTCTTTGTCTCTCTCTATCTCTCTATTTTTTTTATAAGAAATTTTACGGTGAGAATATTGGACTCTACCGGATGAGATGCCAGTCACCAAGAACGATGCCGCTTGATACCATGACAAAAGCTGAATATGGTATTGAATTCACTATATACTTTCCATTCTATATTGCATGGTACATACACAAAAAATCAGGCAACATATTCCATAACAGTAAGGATCAATTTCAACAAGGTGTGACTATTATCACAACTACAGGAGATTATATTGGATCACGCTAGGATCACGTTTGTTTACTTTATCATTCTTATCATATGTAGAGTTTAAATTGAATTTTATGACCTCCTATTATGATATAAATGGAATATGCACCAGCTGCTTGAATATTGAATCCCTGTGCGACTGTTAAGAATTGGTGTTTTTGAAAGGAATCTGTACTTTGTATGATGGTTAGCTGAAAATTAGGGATCTCATATTATGCTCATATGCTGAGTGTTTAAGGCCGCTCTATGATCAGAGGTTTTGTTCACTCTCTCAATTGTTTTGCAGTGTCTAAATATAGCATTTAGGTTGCTTTTGTCTGTTGGAAGTGGTTGACTGCCACTTATGTTGAGAGATATGTTTGAGAATTGATATTTATTAGTGCTGCCTTAAATTTGCATTTCATTTGGATTTTGGAAAAGAGAGGAAATCAAGACTAATGGAATGAAAATGCTTGATGAGAAGTATAGAAGAGCAAGCAAAAAACTTTAGTGTTGTGCACCTGTTTGGTTCTGTTTCAATATCGATTTTCTGTTTCTCGGATCTGAAATATATATTTTCTGTTTTGTGATATAAAAAGTTGTTTGTGAAAACATTCCAGAATGTGGAAAATGGAAATTGAAATCAGTGATACAATAAACACTCGACGTCTGTTTGACGTTTTTGTTTCCCATAGCCATCCGCTGATCTGCTATCCTTTTTTGCTTCTTTTCATTTATCAGGCAGTTATCTCTTATGCACGCAAGGCATAGGACTTTTATAGTTGCCACAGATTTTCTTTCAGTCTGGCCGCTGCAACAAAAATAAATTTTTCTCGCACCTCTAAGTGGGTGTGGGGTGATAATGAGGGGGTGATATTATTATGTGTTTTGAGGAGATCAAGATCGTCACATATTTGGAGATTGTGTCGTGTTTCCGAGGGTTTGCCGATTGACTACGGCTAAGGCCACTGTTTGCCAAGACTCATGAAGCTTGGTGGTAGCATTTGATTTTATTGTAGAGAAACTAGATCTTTGTTCCAGGCTTCTGGACGTAATTGAGCAGGATACTTCTTCGACAATAGCTTTGTATATAACATAATAATTGGCTTTGATTGTAAAACTTCGGTCTATTTGCAAAGATGGTTAGATTTTCATGCTTCCAGGCTCACATCCATTCCCATAAGTCTAAGGTTAGTGGAAGATTCTTTTCTGGCAATTGATTTTTTATTTCATTACTGCTATGGAATTTTTCAATAGCTATTTCTGAGTATTTGCATCTCTCGGTAAATTAGAAAACAGTTCATCTGTCTGCTGAAGCAATGCAGAAGGCACTGGAAGACTCTTCTGAAAATCAGTGCATGAAGGAATTCACTAATTTGGCAGGAACCAGTCCATCACATTTACAGATGCAAGGAGACACTCCCAATACCAATGTGAATCCTGATACTTGTGTCTCTTCTATTGAGCGTGACTGGAAATCTGAAGAAATCAAGAGCAACGGTAGCATTGAAAGTGATATTGGGATTCATAAGGGAGGACTTATTAAAAAGAGTATGTCTTTGGGAAGTGGCCTGGACTGGAAAGGGAGGGCATCTTGTGGCGTTAACTGTGAGGATGAGGCGTGTCAAGGATTTTCTTGTGATGGATCTCATGATGGCAGTGGATCAGTTGTTCCAGCTGGAGGCAACAATCCTGGTATAAACCTGCCCAATCAGTTCCAAGAAGCTATACCCTCTGATTCTCTTCAAATGGGTTCTGATATGTTCAATAATGAATCAATTTTTTCAATTGGAGATCCTCCACATTCAGAAAAAGAAGGCCGAGAAAACTCTGATGAACAGTTTTTATGTGGCGAGTCTAGTGACCATGCACCTCGTACACCACCTGTTATTGTAAAATCCAGATCTGTTCCCAACATTGGATCCTATGGTGAGCATTCTTCTTATGCATCATTTGCTCCTCGTTCTAGATCTTCTGAGGATTTGAATGTTTTAGATTCAAGGCAGAAAGAGATGATGGCCCATGAGGTGGGACCACAGAGAATACCGGATGAGGACAGAGATGATTATGCATTAGACAATGAGAAAAATAATTGTGAAAATCCTGCTGATGATAGTTGTGATAACTCTAATTATGAGGGTTTGTCAAAAGACTGGATAGTACCTGTTATGGATGAGGCAAACACAGTTAAAAACATTCAGGGAGAATTTTCAGTTTGTGGGCGGGATGGATTGCCTAGCAAGGATTTTAAAATAAAGCGAATTGAGGATTGGGTTATGGATCTTCAGCACTGCAGCCCCTTGGAAGAAAAAAATGAATTGTCCACTTCTGCCGTTCATCAGGAACTGAGAAGTGACACTGTCTTGGATAGTCTAATTACTGCAAGATTCAATAGTAAAGTCAATCCAGGCATGGAAGCTGCAAAAAATTATTTATCTTCTTTGACTGCCACAACAACGACAGCTCAGCTGGCAAATCATGGGTTGGTTGTGATCCCATTTCTTAGCACTTTTGTAAGCTTAAGGGCACTTAATTTATCTGGAAATGCCATAGGTTTGCATCTCTGACATGCCCTTATTTTGGTCTTTTTTGCTTTAGCTGGATTTCGAACATATACCAAACTCTTACTATTCCCTGCCTGGTGATGATCTCTCTTCTCACTTTTATTTTTAGTGAGGATTACTGCTGGTGCTCTCCCTCGAGGACTTCATGTTCTGAATATCTCCAAAAACAACATCTCCACCATTGAAGGTTTGCGGGAACTTACGCGACTTCGTGTATTAGACCTGAGCTACAATCGAATACTCAGAATTGGACATGGTATGGCCTCATTCTAACATACTGTAAAAATATGCTGAGAAGTAACATATTGTTTAGATTTAGATGAACAAATCCATTCATGATCTGTTGAGGTTCAGTTTAGTTATAGGTTTGTTCCTATGAAGTACAGATAATTCGTTCAGGTTGACGTACCTATATCCGATACCGTATCGGATGCGATACTCGTCGGATATATATCAGATACACCTTCTACGTATTCGATAATAATTAAATATTGGATATTTCATGGATACTTTTGTGGTCGAGCAACATATATAATTTTTGAGTTGAACTTTTAACATCTCTTTTCGAATTCACATACCATACAATACATTAACAAAAAATTCATATTACTTCAAAGACACATGAGTATTTCTTAAGTATTATCTATAATTACATGTCAAAAGAACATAACATAAAGTTATTACATTATTTTCTTAGCAAAAATTAGTTCTAAATATTAGTTAAATATTAACTTTGATTTTTTTAATTAGTTATTTCATTTTGTGAATATACTACAGCGATATGATATATATTTTCTTGAAACTAAAAAAAATTACTAATTTTCTTTATTATATATTAAAGAACTACAAAAATATACAATTATTAATCTGGTTGAAAATAATAAAAATATTAAATATATTTTATTATAGTCGTATCTTGGCTGTATCCGTATCCTACTTTTTTAGATTTTGTCGTATCGCCGTATCCGTATCGTATCGTTTCCATATCCCGTATTCGTATCCATGCTTCATAGGTTTGCTCTCTAATTAAGTAAATGAATATAAATTGTGTTTTTTATGTTTGATCAATCGAGAAACAAACTTGAACTATGTGCAGCTCTGCTCTTTTTAGGCTTCTGAATGGCATGAATAGGTATAATGCAGTTTGTAGATAATCCCTTTAATATATTACTAAATCTTATCTTGATAGATCTCTTTATTATAAGAGTCAGACAAGAAAGTTGACCAGTAATCTGAAGGCAGTTATTTTTGTGGAAGAATGTAGTAAATTTTCTAGTGCATTGTGAAACTTAATATTCTACTTTCAAAGCTCAACTAGGTTCATGAATCATGATCTAACTTGACTTTGGCAATGTGGATTATGTATGGTTATTAAGCTCAATAAATGCTTGAATTTGGCTTGCCTAGAAATTCTAGAAAACAGTCGTAAAAAACAAAATAGTTTGCTCGACTTGGTTCATTTGAACTCTCAGCTGTTCACTTTCTTTCTTTGGTTTCATAAGGGCCTTTGTATATCGCCAAAGTTCTGGTGATGTTATTGTGATGTCGAAGTTAGGCGGAGGCTTCCCAGTCAGGGAGCAGAGAAAAAAGGAACCATAAAATAAAAGGAAAAAAGGGCTACTTGTCAAACATATCTCATCCATTGTATCGGGCCTCTTATTTTCCAGTCAGAATAGTAGAGGTTGGCAATATATCAGAAAAAAATGAGAACTATATCTGAAATTTGTATAAAATTCTGAAATAACTAGATCCCAAAGCCTCTTCCATGTATCATTTCACGACAACATATGGATTATGCATGACTGACTCCCTTCTTTGTCAACGATTTAAAATTTTACATCTCATTTGGCGGTGTATATAGATGCTGTATGTCTTGGATTCTGAGCTTAATTAATTTTTATGGCTAGTGTATATATTGAAATAAAATATCTAATATTTTGATATTCTGTGACTTAAATTTTGTCCCCTAACATACATTTGTTTTACTTATGTGGAAGGCTTAGCTTCTTGTTCCTCCCTGAAAGAACTATACTTGGCTGGGAACAAAATTAGTGAGGTCGAGGGTCTTCACCGGCTTCTAAAACTGCATGTCTTGGATTTGCGTTTCAACAAAATCTCTACAGCCAAATGTCTTGGCCAACTTGCAGCTAATTACAATTCTCTACAAGCTATCAGCCTGGAAGGGAACCCAGCCCAGAAGAACGTAGGAGACGAACAACTAAAGAAATATCTGCAAGGCCTTCTTCCCCATTTGGCTTACTTTAACAGGAAATCTATCAAACTAGGCACTCTAAAAGATGCACCAGACCGGCCAGCTCGTTTAGGTACCACTGCCCACCAGATTGATCGTGGCCTTCGATCAGATCTCAAGACTACGAGGAAGGGAAGCCACGGTCTTGCTGGTCATAAGGTAGCATCTTCTTCGTCGATTCATGGTCGTAGAAATCACGTGGTAGCAGCAGCCTCATCAAAACCATCAAGCAGCAGGCATGTGCGCCAACCTCCTCCTAGTGGAACTAAGACGACAACACAACGGCATCATTTTAACGATTTGGGCAGCAAACTTCTGAGCTTCAAATCTGATCACTCCGTTCGCAGGAGTCGCAGTGAGGGAACTTTAGCAGCTCTCTGAGATGATTTCAAATGGTTTCTGTATGAATTTGGTTCAAAACTATGTTTTTGCATATTTGCACTGTTAAATTCTGAGTTTTAGATTACATGATTGCAGTGGTTTTCCACAGTGCAAAACTCTATCTGGTTCAAAATGTTGATATGTTGATTTCTGGGATTGAAAGCATGAATAACAACCCTCTTCAAATTGTTGATGTTGCAGAGGTAAGATTGCTTATATCTAACCTTCTCTTGACCTCGCAATGATGCGAGAACCTTGTGCACTGAGTATGCACTTTGAGATTAAAAGTTGTTAACCACTTCGACACATTATACACAAATACACCATCTCTTGAATATCACAATTAGTGATGAATAAAGGGTGATTTTGTACATACAGCTCTTGCTACTACGGGTTTTTGAGATAAGATGTATGCATCCTTTACTCACAATATTGATGAATGTGACCCAAAAAAAAAAAACACTTATTTTGAAATGCACTAATTTTAGCGAGTCTATTAAAAGTAATGACAATTTGGTTTGTTTTAATATGATGATGCTACAAATAAATATTCCCAAACAAATCATATATCGAAGATTCAATCATTAGCTGGTTTAACCAAAAATTTTCTTTTCATTTAAAACGTTTCATTTTTTTTTAATAGTAAAACGTTTCATTTAAAATGCGTATTTTACATAATAACATTTAAACACTTCAATTGACAAAAGTCTATAGTACTGTTATTGGTCTAGTATCAAAAATTATAACTTTTTAATTTGAGTTATAATTTCTTTTTTTAAGTGTAAGTTACAATTTGTAAAGAGCAAGATTGAATCATGAAAGATTGAGATCGAATCATTGTTTATTGCTCTAACTTCTATGAATCGGTCAATTTTAGTTACAATCAAGTTGTTCAATTAAAACCCTCCAAATTTCCAAGTTTTGATTTGGTTAGAGGACAAGAATGAGATCAACATAGAACCTTCTGATTGTCTAAGGTTATGCAGATGACTATTACAAATTCCAACATCACCATCAATTTCAAAATTTATTCTTTTTGCATTATGTTTTTAATATATTTTTTAATTTATCACTACTTAAAATGAAAGTTCGGATTAAATATATATTTTTCAACATAAAAACGTGTTTGCAAAAATAAAAATTTTCAAATGTATTCTAGTAAAAGTATATTTTACAAACACACATTCATATCAAGAAACGAGAGTTTAAAACACTTTGATATAGTTAATGTTATTATTTATACTGAAACATTCTAAACGGCTATATAGTGTAGGATAAGAATATGGTAACCATAAAAAAATTGTTCTCATACCCAAATTTATGTGTACTCATAAAACCTTGATTGAATAGAAACGGCTATAGGTGTCATTTTATTATATGAGACATAAAATCAGATTAGGTGGGATGGGCTTCGCGAGACGCCCCCCCCCCCCCCCCCCCTCCCCCCCCCCCCCCCCCCCCCAACTTCTTTCCTCACTTTTTTAATCAAAATTTGATTTTATTAAGCTAAAAATAAGATTTCTCCAACCAAATTAAATCTTGTACATGTCATACTATCTGATAATGTACAAAATAGGCTATGCACAATCAAACAGTCAAGTATATGATGCAGGGTAATTAATGAAGCAATTAATAATAAGATATAAATATTGGGTGGTTGAGTCGAGATGACTTAACCACTGAAGGCGACGACGGTGGCCGGAGAACTTCATTTAAAAAGTAAAAGGTGAGAGAGAGATCAAAGGTAAGCTTTAAGTGAAATTGCTATACGGGAGAGATAGCTATATAAAATGGTATGCCTCCTTCATGTGTAGATGGTTTATAATTTATAGGCACAAAGCCTTAATTGAGACGGTGGCGTGAGAGACATGTCTAGTCCTTTGGGGAGGATAACTACAACTAAGGATAGATACAATTAAAGATAATCTTAATCTTCCAGTAGTGGTTATCCTAGTGTTTACTCTCCACGTACATTGACTTCTTGAGTCTCTTGAATCTTGAACTGGGTTAAGGCAACGAGATAGATTTGACCTGCCTTTTCAATGTTTGAGGCTTATCCATGAATGGGCTTGAACCCAGCTGAATCTAGGCTTATCAATATCCCTTATTCAATTTACCACATCCTATCTATAATTTTTCTATATAATCTATCATTCCATTCAATTTTCACATTCTCTATAACTCCCTAAAATATATCATTTTTTTAATAGAATCTAAATATCAATTATGTGCATCACACTGGACAATGACTAGTATTTTTACTAAACGAAAAGTGACCATTTTATAATATAAAACATGACTGATTTCAATAAGTCCATTCCACGGTCTCAAATAAACTCATACACCCGTCACTAACATCCCTCTTAAAATCATTTATATTGTACTATACTTTTAAACACAAATTACCCATAGTACTTAAATATTACAGTCAGTTCGATGTTTAAGTTCAATAACGAGGGTTAGGCTATTTTCGTAAATCATGATGCCTTTTGTGGAGTAGCAAGGTAGGTTAGACATTTATATAATAAAGTAGAATAAAATTTGAATTTTGGAGACAAAGAGAAGTTCAGATCGTTTTGAGACAAAACATAAACAAATTCGATAGACAATGTAATCCCAATATAAAAGACGATTTAGAATTTTTTTCAAAATTTTGATCTAACGTTATACAGTGATTACTGAATTTATTTTCCTGCCCATCTCTCTCTCTCACTTCTGCCTTAGTCTCTCGCACCTCTTTCTCTCTCTCACGCCTCTCTTTCTAACTTCTGCCTCACTCTCTCACGCCTTTCTCTCTCTCTCACGCCTCATTCTCCCAAACTATCACACTTTTATCGCATGGAATCCATCTCAAATCTCACTCATAATAGTGGCATTAGGACAGCTACAGTAGAAAGAGACAGACGAAAGGCATAGAGAGAGAAGGAGAGGAGAAAGGTAGACAGAGAAGTGGAACCTTAAAAATGCCATTTGCTGGAATCCATCTTAATCTCACTTCAACACCGCTACCAGGTATGTTTGTATTTCCTTCTCTCTCTGCTTCTATCTTTCTCCGCTGCTCAGCACACATAGAGGACACATGGAAGGAGTTCGACACAATGCCCAGGAGGTGTTCAACCAAATGCCGAAGAAGTAATATTATGCCCTTGACATACATTCTCTGTCAAAGGAATCACAATCACACCTGTTAAAAAAAAATCACAGCCACATACACACATCCGTTTTGCAATTTTGCTTGGACAACATTTATAGGCAGTGTTTGCACACACAGTCGTTTCAGGTAGTGTTCGCATTTACATCACGTGTCTGCATATTTTTTTAATATGCCTCTATTTGTTTGGTTTTTCTCTTCGTTCAAATCCCCATGAGCTATTCGATCAAATGCTCTTGACATACATTCTCTGTCAAAGGCATCCCCTGAATCACAATTACACCTGTTAAAAAAAAAAAACACAGCCACACACACATATGTTTTTCACTTTTGCTTGGATTGCATTTACAGGTAGTGTTCGCACACATAGTGGCTTTTGCTTGGACTGCATTTACAGCCACGCACACACAGTCGCTACAGGCAGTGTGTCTGCATTTACATCATGTGTCTGCAGAAATTGGTTATGCAGTAGATATCATTTCTCTGGAGTTTTGATTAATTTTATACCTCTTTCTCTTATCAAGTGTAGATATGTGTAATATAGATAGCCAACTTCCTCCACACAACCTGACTTGATGTTCCATTAATGTTTGTTCTTCTATGATTATCGGATCTGAGATTTTGTTGGCCTTTTAAACAATTTTCATGGGTTGGTGTTGTTTAGGTATTGATAATTTTATAATTCTTCTATATTGTAGTTCTTCTAACTCTAGTGACTGTTGATCATTCTTAGGGGCATATGTTTGCAGGTCCCTTTGATTGGACCAAATTCCATTGTTCCACCTCAATCTCGCTTCAACATCGCTGCCAGGTATGTTTGTATTTCCTTCTCTTTCTGCTTCTATCTTTCTCCACTGCTTAGCACACATACATGACACATGGAAAAAGTTCGACACAGTGCCCAGGAGGTGTTCGACCAAATGCCGAAGAAGTAATCAAATGCCCCTGACATACATTCTCTGTCAAAGGCAACACAACCACATCTGTTAAAAAAAAAAATCACAGCCACACAGCCACACACACACATATCTATTTTTCAATTTTGCTTGGACTGTATTTACAGCCACGCACACATTGTCGCTTTAGGCAGTGTTCGCATTTACATCATGTGTTTGCATATTTTTTTAGTATGCCTCTATTTGTTTGGTTTTTCTCTTCGTTCAAATGCCCACGAGCTGTTCGAACAAATGCTCCTGACATACATTCTCTGTCAAAGGCACCCTCTGAATCACAACCACACCTGTTAAAAAAAAAAAACACAGCCACGCACACACATCTATTTTTCACTTTTGCTTGGACTGCATTTATAGGCAGTGTTCGCACAGAGTCGCTTTTGCTTGGACTGCATTTATAGTCACGCACACACAGTCGCTTCAGGCAGTGTGTCTGCATTTACATCATGTGTCTGCAGAAATTGGTTATGCTGTAGATATCATTTCTCTGGAGTTTTGATTAATTTTATCCCTCTTTCTCTTATCAAGTGTAGATATGTGTAATCTAGATAGCCAACTTCCTCCACACAACCTGACTTGATGTTCCATTGAGTCATTGACTAGTGACTTGATGTTCCATTAATGTTTGTTCTTCTATGGTTATCGGATCTGAGATTTCGTTGGCCTTTTAAACAATTTTCATGGGTTGGTGCTGTTTAGGTACTGATAATTTTATAATTCTCCTATATTGTAATTCTTCTAACTCTGGTGACTGTTGAGCATTCTTAGGGGCATATGTTTGCATGTCCCTTTGATTGGACTAAATTCTATTGTTCCATCTCAATCTCACTTCAACACCATTGCCAGGTATGTTTGTATTTCCTTCTCTCTTTGCTTCTATCTTTATTCGCTGCTTAACACACACAGATGACACATGGAAGGGGTTCGACACAGTGCCCAGGAGGTGTTCGACCACATGCCGAAGAAGTAATCAAATGCCCCTGACATACATTCTTTGTCAAAGACAACACACACAACCACACCTATTAAAAAAAATCACAGCCACACACACACATCTGTTTTTCAATTTTGCTTGGACTGCATTTACAAGCAGTGTTTGCACACAAAGTCGCTTTTGGTTGGACTGCATTTATAGCCACGCACACATTGTCGCTTCAGGCAATGTTCGCATTTACGTCATGTGTCTGCATATTTTTTTAATATGCCTCTATTTGTTTGGTTTTTCTCTTCGTTCAAATGCCCACGAGTTGTTCAATCAAATGCTCCTGACATATATTCTTTGTCAAAGTCACCCTTTGAATCACAACCACACCTGTTAAAAAAAAAAACACAACCACGCACACACATCTGTTTTTCACTTTTGCTTGGACTGCATTTACAGGCAGTGTTCGCACAGAGTCGCTTTTGCTTGGACTGCATTTACAGTCACGCACACACAGTCGCTTCAAGCAGTGTGTCTGCATTTACATCATGTGTCTGCATAAATTGGTTATGCTGTAGATATCATTTCTCTGGAGTTTTGATTAATTTTATCCCTCTTTCTCTTATCAAGTGTAGATATGTGTAATCTAGATAGCCAACTTCCTCCACACAACTTGACTTGATGTTCCATTAATGTTTGTTCTTCTATGATTATCGGATCTGAGATTTTGTTGGCCTTTTAAACAATTTTCATGGGTTTGTGTTGTTTAGGTACTGATAATTGTATAATTCTTCTATACTGTAGCTCTTCTAACTCTGGTGACTGTTGAGCATTCTTAGGGGCATATGTTTGCAGGTCCCTTTGATTGGACCAAATTCTATTGTTCCATCTCAAACTCACTTCAACATCGCTGCCAAGTATGTTTGTATTTCCTTCTCTCTCTGCTTCTATCTTTCTCCGTTGCTCAGCACACATAGATGACACATGGAAGGGGTTCAACACAGTGCCCAGGAGGTGTTCGACTAAATGCCGAAGAAGTAATCAAATGCCCCTGGCATACATTCTCTATCAAAGGCATCACAACCACACTTGTTAAAACAAAATCACAACCACACACACATTTGTTTTTCAAGTTTGCTTGGACTGCATTTACAGGCCGTGTTTGCACACACAGTCGCTTTTGCTTGGACTGCATTTACAGTCACGCACACACAGTCTCTTCAGGCAGTGTTCTCATTTACGTCATGTGTTTGCATATTTTTTTAATGTGCCTCTATTTGTTTGATTTTTCTCTTCGTTCAAATGCCCACGAGTTGTTCGATCACATGCTCTTGACATATATTCTCTGTCAAGGGCATCCTCTAAATCACAACCACACCTGTTAAAAAAAATAAAACACAGCCACACACATACATCTGTTTTTCACTTTTGCTTGGACTGCATTTATAGGCAATGTTCACACACACAATCGCTTTTGCTTGGGCTCTATTTACAGCCACGCACACACAGTCGCTTCAGGTAGTGTGTCACATTTACATCACGTGTCTGCATTTACATCATGTGTTTGCAGAAATTGGTTATGCTATAGATATCATTTCTCTAGAGTTTTGATTAATTTTATCCCTCTTTCTCTTATCAAGTGTAGATATGTGTAATCTAGATAGCCAACTTCCTCCGCACAGCTTGACTTGATGTTCCATTGAGTCATTGACCAGTGACTTGATGTTCCATTAATGTTTGTTCTTCTATGATTATCGGATCTGGGATTTCGTTGGCCTTTTAAACAATTTTCATGGGTTGGTGTTGTTTAGGTACTGATAATTTTATAATTCTTCTATACTGTAGTTCTTCTAACTCTGGTAACTGTTGAGCATTCTTAGGGGCATATGTTAGTAGGTCCCTTTGATTGGACCAAATTCTATTGTTTCATGACTTCTGAGTCAATTTTATTTGGGTTGCAGTAAGTTTTTATTGTATGAATATATTAGATTGTATTGTCTGGGAGTAAACTTTGAATCAACTGATGGTGATAGTTTCCAGCATTACTTTTCTTGCTTTCATAATTGATGATAGTTGAAGCCTAATTCATCTACAAATTAGGTGCCCCTGCACCTTTCAGCAATTAATGTGTTTCTGCTCAATTTTCCTTTGGATCATCTCTTAACTATCAGCCTTTATATAATGACATAATGTGCAATTTTCTCATTCTTGGTGGTTGGAAAAGTTTTCAGTAGTGACGCATTGCTAGCTCTTCATCTCAGACGGAGTCAAAGTATGATCCCCTTTGTTTTTGGCATTACCAAAGTACTTGAGAATGTTGAATTTATATGCCAGGAAGAATTGACTTGAATTTCCTTAAACAATGATATAGTTCATTACTTACCCAAAAAAAAAAAAATTATATAGTTCATATGCTACATATCCAATTTGTTGACTGTTAGGCCATTATAGCAGCAAGCTGTTGTTTTTTTTTTCGGAAAGTAGCAGCAAACTGTTGTTATTAGTTTATATGTTGTTCTTTTGTTTTTTTGGTCATTGTGTATGTGTTGTTCAAGTGCTCATGTTTTGTTCAAAATAGAAGAGAAATTAACTCTATCGTTCTCACCCTCCAAAATTAGAATTAGGCTTCTGACTGTTAGAGTACTGATTTGGGTTTAGTTAACTTTCTTTTGACTTTCTTTTTTGCTTGAATGGCTAATTCAATTTTGTATAATAATGTAATTTGATCACAAAGTAATGTATGTTGCAGAAAAAAGGTTGTGGTCGTTCAGAGAAGAATACAACTTATGTTGGATCTAGGCTTATTGTTCAATTAGCTTTAATTGTTGGTTTGAGCTTTAATTAGTTTAAATTATTTTGCGATACCTATGCTTATTGTTCAATTAGCTTTAATTGTTGGTTTGAGCTTTAATTAGTTAAAATTATTATGAGCTAGTTTAATTGGTTTTAATCGTTCAATTATTTAATTGTTGGTTTGCTTTGTGGACTATCTTGTTTTTTGATGAGTTTTGGATTTTTTCAAGTACTAAATGGACGCAAACACACACACACAAAGCAGCGCACACACAGTAGAATGCATGTTTATATTCATTATTTAATTATTTCGTGTTTAATAGTTATATGTACGGTGTCTTCAGACACGTGATATAGGGTGAGTTTAGGTTTTCAGTTTAATACGTGTTCGAGTTCGGTGCTTGATTATTTCGCGTTCAAATTGAATGTTTACTTTTTTTTAGTTACATCGTGCCTTCAGGCACGGATTATTCCTAGTATAACTATATAATAGAATATATAGAATGTTGAATTTTGTCCCTGCACATTTTTTTTAATATTATCATATCACTCATTTTTATCATATATTTAATTATTTAATGTTTGTAGTTTATATATGTTGAGAAAATTTTATCAAATTATGTATTTTAAGAAAATTGTCAATATTTTTAAGAAAATAATGAGTAAAAATAAATTTTGAATGATAAAATCAAAGAAATGAAGGAAAAAATTATTATTTAATATAGTGAGATTAATTTTTGGGGGCTTGAATTTTATATTCTATGGTGTCTTTAGGCACATGTTATATATATATTAGTCATATCTCATATCAAAGTGTAACATAAAATTGGAATGCTAAAAAATTCGATTTTACTATATCAAATAATAAATTTTTCTTTCTATTTCTTTAAATATATAATTTAAAATTAATTTTTACCCTTTTAAAAAAAAAAAATTGACACAATTTTCTCAAAATATATGACTTAAAAAAATATCAACATATTTACACTATCGTATATAAATATGAATCATCTTCAAATTTAACTTGGCTCGTGTTTTTTACCTATAAGGTTAAAATTGTGTGCATCTTCGAGTGCATTTTAATAACAAAACGTATGATGTGATGGAAACTTAAAATCTCTTGATTAAAAATCATTATATAGAAAAAAATATGTGGCCTTATTTGCTATTTTTTTTTCATTATGAAAATAAATATATATCAAAATATGAACTAATTGAGTAGAAACTATTCATTATTAGGGTTCAGCTTAATATCAAACCAGTTTCATTCTTATTAGGGTTCATTGTTAAATTAGAAATTAAGAATAAATCAATCTCATCCTACCATGTGTTTCAAGTAACCATTCGTCTACTCTTATTAACTAACTCCCATTTTAGTATTCTTTTTATGTCAGTTCACAAATAATTGAGTGAGGAAAGAAAATGGATGAGAAAGAAAAATGAAAAAAGATGATAAGTTGTACATCCCATGCAATTATACAGAGTTGACGACCGAAGGCCACGCGGATAGGTCTTTATCGGTAAAATTATGAAACCCTTGATCCTTTTGAGAATGAGGTTAATTAGGGTTGCATAATAGTCAATCACTAAATTTCAGTATGGACTCTAAGATTCAAACATCTAATCTCAGAATAAGAAATTCGGTCGAAACTCCACTGAATCACCCTACTCGATGGTGACGACCGGAACATATATACAAGCAATAACTATGCCTAAGATATGATGTAACATAAAATTCGAGTGTCAAAAAAATTGATCCCACTATATTAAATAATAATTTCTTTCCTTCCTTTTCTTTAATTACATAATTTGAAATTAATTTCTATTTATTATTTTTTAAAACAAAAAATTGACAATTTTCTCCAAAAAAAAAAATGCATACATTATCATATATGAATAATGTTCAAAATAAAAATTGTATTGAACTACAAATTAATTAAAAATTGTGATAAATTAGGTGATATGATAGAAATGAACGAAAAAAATATGTAAGGACGAAATTTATGTCTAGTTCTCTAATTATATATATATATTAAATATACTTATTTTAAAAATAAATAAAACTATACAAGAACATAATAAATTAAAAAAATATTATTTAGATTTAAAATATTAATATGATTTGATTTACTGACTTAATCAATCATAACCATTATATAAATAATAGGTCTCAATTGAAACTTTAACCAATAATAATTATTGATCAAGTCAATAAATCAAATTCACGTAGTATAAACTAAACTCGGATTGCTTGAATAATTTAAAAAAAAAATGTTGAAAGTAGACGGTTCATTTGATGAGAATGAATTGCCACACGGGATAAAAACCTAAAATGGTGGGGCCTAAAATTTTCTTTTGATCAATTATTAACTTATTGGTGGACCATTTTGATTAAATAAGATAGCTGATTTGAGTGATGATTGGTTTGCTTAGATTGCGGTTGATTTATCTCCTATTTTAATATGGTAGGTCCAAAAGTATGCAATAGAAACTAATTGGACCCCACGCAGAAGTTGGTTCGGCTTATTTTAATTATTGTTTGCACAAATGGGTGGCTGGAGACTTTTTCAATTGTATGATGATGGGTCATCCGGAGCGGACTAAACTACATCAGGACCGTTGACTTGTATTCTGGAAAAAATCAAAGCAAGAAAATGTGGGTACCATTTGATTCCTTGTAAGGAGGGGCATTTAGGTTTTGGTTTTCTTTCTTTGACTTTTCTTCCTTCCACAGCACGTGGATAAGTTACCAGCTGTAGTCTATTTTTAACTTGAAATGACCAAAATGCCCATATTTTTAATCCTGGTTTGTGAAGTCTAATTTTTTTCTTCTTTTATTTTTTGGAACAGCATAAGTTGAATTATGAAGAAAAATTCACTTTTTGAAATTAAAAACCAATAAAAAGTAAAATTAAAGTGAATGAGTATAAATGATGTATATAAAATATTAGTTATATCCTAGATCATGTAGAGTCGGAGCGAGAGCACAAAAACAATAAAAATTAAAAATATTTGAAAGTGTTATATTATATGAATCAAGACAAACATTTACCCATAAAAACTAACAAAAATTAAATATAAAAAAATTATTTAATTTTTAAATATATATTGATTATAAAGTCCTAAAATAGTAATTATATGTTACTTTTTAAATTAAATTTTTATAAATTAATCTTAACGAAGGGATTAATTGAAAATTTTATTTTTTATAAATTAATCTTAACGAAGGGATTAATTGAAATAAATTACATATAAGTCAGAGGGTAAATTAGAATAATTGAAAGTTTTTGAGGCAATTTAAAATAAAAGTCATTGTTCAAGTGTCATTTATGAGATTTATCCTTCTAATTTTCTTTTCTGTGGTCGGTATTTGTTTTGGAAAGGTTGGTGTCCAAAGGGCATAATAGTCAATACAAGTAGTCTGATTGACTCCGTCGATGACAGTATCTTCAATTAGCTTCTTCTGTCATGAACTCAGTTTCACATTCACACAATTCTTGAAATTGATCTGAGCAATCTCTCTCTCCCCTCATCTGCACAGAATTTGTGCAAGAATGAATATCAAAAACAGTTATTGTTTCCTTATATCTGTGCTCTTCCTTTGTTTCTCTCTCAACACCTATCTCACCTATGGAGCTGACACCATATCTGCAAACCGGCCTCTCTCTGGAAGCCAGACCGTTGTGTCTTCAGGTGGAAACGTTGAACTGGGTTTCTTCAATCCAGGTAACTCTTCCAACTTCTACATAGGCATGTGGTACAAAAAAGTCTCTCTCCAGACAATAGTTTGGGTAGCCAATCAAGATAGACCCATCTCGGATAAGTTCTCTTCAGAACTTACAATTTTACAGGGTAACTTGGTGCTTCTCAATGAGTCTGGAACACCAATTTGGTCCACTAATTTGAACTCCACCACCTCAAATTCTTCAGTAGCTGTTCTTCTTGATGATGGAAATTTGGTTTTGAGAGAAACCCCAAATTCATCAGAACCAATTTGGCAGAGTTTTGATTACCCAACAAATACATGGTTGCCTGGTATGAAGATTGCATACAATAAACGAACAAAGACAAAGCAACTTCTTACTTCATGGAAGAACCAAGAAAATCCCGCACCAGGATTGTTCTCTTTGGAGTTAGACCCATTCGGCAGTCAGTATATTATAAAGTGGAATAAAACTGAACAGTACTGGACTAGTGGGCGTTGGAATGGGCAAATTTTCAGCTTAGTACCCGAAATGAGGTTGAATTATATCTACAACTTTAGCTATGTAGACAATGAGAATGAGAGTTATTTTACATATTCTCTGTATAATCCTCAAACTATATCTAGATTTATCATGGATGTTTCGGGGCAAGTCAAGCAACTCACATGGTTGGACCCTTCCAAATCGTGGAATTTGTTTTGGTCTCAACCAAGACAACAATGCGAGGTTTATGCTTTTTGTGGGGCTTTTGGTACCTGTAATCAGAATTCAATGCCCTTCTGTTCTTGTGTGAAGGGTTTCAAGCCTAGATCGGATCATGATTGGAACCTGTCTGATTATTCCGGTGGGTGTGTGAGAGAAACTGGCCTGCAATGTGGGAATACGAGTGCAGGTAATGGGAAGAGAGATAGGTTTTGGGTGCAAAACCAAATGGGTTTGCCCCAATATCCTCAATCAGTCGCAGTTGGTAGTGCTGCAGAATGTGAATCCACCTGTTTGAACAACTGCTCTTGCAATGCCTATGCTTATGACAGCAGTGGGTGTTCAATCTGGGATTTAGACCTCTTGAATCTGCAACAACTTTCACAAGGTGATAGTGGGAAAACAATCTATATCAAACTTAATGCCTCGGAGTTTCCTAGTAGTAAAAACAAAATGCGCATTATTATAGGTGCTGTTGTGGGTTCAGTTGTAGTTGTACTCGTGGCCTTAAGCCTTGTGTGGGTTGTAATTCAGAGACAGCGAAGGAGATTGGTCAGCAGTGCAAAGGCAGGTGAGGGTTCATTGGTGGCTTTCGGCTACAAGGATTTGCAAACTGCAACCAAAAATTTCTCAGAAAAATTGGGTGGAGGAGGTTTTGGTTCTGTTTTCAAGGGAACTTTGCCTGATTCTACCGTCATAGCAGTGAAGAGGCTTGAAAGCATCAGCCAAGGAGAGAAGCAATTTCGCACAGAAGTCAGCACAATTGGGGCAGTCCAGCATGTCAACCTTGTACGGCTTCGTGGGTTTTGCTCTGAAGGTGATAAAAAGTTGTTGGTATATGATTACATGCCAAATGGCTCATTGGAATCCCATCTTCTCCATGATGAGGATTCAAAGGTTTTGGACTGGAAAACAAGGTACCAAATTGCCTTGGGGACCGCCAGAGGGTTGGCTTATCTCCATGAGAAGTGCAGGGACTGCATAATTCACTGTGATATTAAGCCAGAAAACATTCTTTTAGATGCTGAATTCTGTCCAAAAGTGGCAGATTTTGGTCTGGCCAAGCTTGTTGGGCGTGACTTTAGTAGGGTTCTCACGACCATGAGAGGGACAAGAGGCTATCTTGCACCTGAATGGATATCAGGAGTAGCGATTACAGCCAAAGCCGATGTTTACAGCTATGGAATGATGCTTTTTGAGTTCATCTCAGGAAGGCGAAACTCAGAGCAATCTGAAGATGGGAAAGTTAAGTTCTTCCCAACTTGGGCTGCAAGCGTAACAATAGAAGGTGGTGATGTCCTTAGCCTATTAGATCATAGGTTGGACGGGATTGCCGAATTAGAGGAGGTGACAAGAATGTGTAGAGTGGCTTGTTGGTGTATCCAAGAAGATGAAAATCGCAGGCCATCTATGGGTCAGGTAGTGCAGATCCTTGAAGGAGTTCTAGATGTGAATCTGCCTCCAATCCCACGATCTCTCCAACTGTTTATTGAAAACCAGGAGCATATAGTTTTCTTCACCGAGTCATCCTCAGCACCGACTGACCCTTCAAACGCTTCTTCTCAGTCCAAGAGCACCATATCATCAAGAAGTTCCAAGTCCTGAAGAAAATAACGTATGATTTAGTTAAGTAATCATTTTCTGCATTTTATATATCAACACTCAATGCTATAGTTAGAAATTGCTTGCGGAATCTGTAGTTATATGTTGTTTGGTATATTAGTTGGAAGTCGGAAGTTATATGTCACCGTATATGTTAATGCTATACCCAAATAAAGGTTGGAAGTTTTGGTTTCTGTTGTAATGTGCCATGTTTCTTTTGCAACCCAGAGCTCTTTGTTTAATGTGTGGAACAATTATAATGGCTCCAATGTAAAACCTGATATATATTGGGGCATTATTCTTAGCAGTTGAAAGTTGTGTCCTTAAAATATTGCCTTTTGGATCGTCTTCTGTTCAATGCGGTACCCTCCGTTTTTTTTGGTTAGCATTGGGTTTACCTTGTTCAGACAATCTCGTAGGACAATGACACAACCACTTGTTAGATGTATTTCCTCTCATGATGGATGAGAGGGGAATAACTACCATCACCTAAACCCATAGACAAATGTTCCCAAAAACTGTTATATAGGTCGAACATGTAGGCTCAGATTGGTCTGTTTTTGGAGGCAACCGATTAAAAACCTAAGCCATTTGTGGAATATGGTTTGCTTCTGAACTGCTAATTCATTAGAAGTTTAATGTGCTCAACTTATCCACAAGAAAATCGAAACCTGATAGAATTTCCCGATGTTGGTTACTTTATTCTCTCATTTAAATGTTGGGAGGAGCCTAGATTGGATTCATTTAAATGAATATATGGAAGCCTGCTGTGATGTTTTACTCAGTAGAAGTTAGTTTTCTAAGAAAGGCATATATATGATCATGGATGGTTACTGCTTCTTATGTGAAGGAATTTTGCAGTCTGGGTTTTCGTATTCTGATTAAGAATCTCTCCCAATTGGTCTGGTTTTCATCAGGCTTTACAACTCTAGTTGATGACCAGGTTGATTTCAGAACATATTTAGAGGTGGCTGACTGGGAATCGAGCCAAGATCAGTTGGATTTGCAGATGATAATAACTTGGAATACATAAGCTAATAGAAATCGAGCTCGTAAAGATGAACCAGCCCAGAATTGCGATGAGATTGCTGCTTTCTCATAAGACTATACTACCAGAAGTTTCTTGCTGCACAGTTGATAGAGTAATTCAATTCAGATGTGCAAGATGGAACTCTTTAGCAGTGGAGGAGAGAACTAGAATTAGCACCAGAGATTGGATGGGAATGAATAAAGAAATATTAAATTGTCCTATATCCAATATGAAACTTTGGTTCTTCCTCGAATTTGTGCTACTTTATAATGCATATAAAATAAAGCCGTAGATTATACCAAGCAAATGACTTGTTTTAAATTCAAATATAAATGATAGCAAGGCCATCTGAAAGAATATAACAAAAAGGGTCGCTAGAGAAAACTAATTTAGCTGAGCTCTCAATTTCATGGAGTATGCAGTGAGTTTAAATTGTATTTTGAGGTGGCATTTGTTGGTGCTTATTATGTACTCCCAATTGTGAAAATCTCTGATTATGAATACTACAATTAGTTGGTCAACTTGCTATACAAAAAAAAAAATCTTGATGATCTTTATAAACTTCTTTGGAGCCGTAAATCTTTCCAAGGACAACATACTTTCAATTTATATTTAATAACGCAAATTTCAAATATGCGCAATCACCTAAAAATCATACACTACGGTTTAATGTAGGAATAGAATATAAAATACCATGTCAATGTTTAATGACTACTAGGATTAAGTGTAGGAATATAATTGAAAATACATACAAATATTTAGATAAATCAATAGTTTTACTAAATTAAATTAAAAATTATCAAAATACTCTTAACGACTTTAAAATATTATAGTGGAAATTGGAAGTGAGTCTCCCTAGATGAACTTGTTTGAAGATAAGTTCTGCAAGAAAACTTATAAGGGGTTAAGTCCATGTTTAAAATTATATGTAATGACTTAAGTCCATTTTTTTTTTTTATCTCAAAAATACTCTTCCTTAAAAGGAAGTTAATCTTTTCTCTCTCATGTCTATTTATATCCATATATAAGTTAAAAGTTTAACTAATATTAAAATTTTTCCTCTATATATATATATATATATATATATATATATATATATATATATATATATATATATATATATATATATTCAAATACAAAAAAAAAAGTTACTATGAATTTGAATAGTAAAATTCAAATTCATGTTATTATTTTTTTTATTATGTTACTGTTCATGTTATTGCTTTTGTTAAGTATGTTACTGTTCATGTAATATTATTTTTGAGCATGTTATTGTTTTGTTGACCATGTAACTACTATTATTTTTCTAAATATTAATATTCAATGTTACTATTTTTTTTTGAATATTATTATTTTTTGTATTTGAATGGTACTATTTTTTGTATTTGAATTTAAGAGAAATAATTATTGTTAAGTATGATACAATTTTTGTTAAACATGTTACTATTTTTGTTGAACATGTTACTGTTGTTGTTTTTTTAAAATATTAATATTGAATGTTTCAATTTTTTTATTTTTAAATGTTACTATTTTTTTGTATTTAAATATATTATTTTTTGTGTCCAAATGATAACTTTTTTTTATATTTGAATGTTACTATTTTTTATTTTTAATGTTACTATATATATATATTATATATAGACACACATATATATAACCTATATATAGATAGATACGATAGAGCAAAAAATTTAATATTAGTCAAACTCTTAACCTATATATGGACATAAATAGATGTGAGAGAAAAAAATTTAATGTTAGTCAAACTTTTAAGATTTAGGAGTTTTTAATTTTTAGTTTTATTCTCCTTCTAAAGGAAAGGGAAAGTATTGTAAAATTTATAAAAAAAAGAACTTTATAACAAAAAAAATTTTTTGACGAACTTAAGTTCAAACAAGTTTATATAGAGGATCGCCTTTAAATTTCCTTATTATATATCTTTTTAATGCCCCTTCCTCAGGACCTAAGACCAAGACCAGGCCCTGACCTTGGACCCAAATCGTGAATCAAGATCCAGCCTGATACTATACCCAGATGCGAAGTTGAGCAGGGCTCGGGCTGGACCCATAACCTGAACTTTGAAGCGGACTTGGCGCCCAACTTGACATCGATTCGAACAAAAACCCAAACCCAAATTCGACTTTGAACATGAACTCGAACCTGACCCAACCGAATCTGGACACAAGCCTCGGTCCTGGCCCCTAGACTTGGACCCATACGAGGAGCCAACCTTGGACCTAGACAAGGAGTCAACCTTGGAATTGACCTAGACCCGTACCCAACTCCGACCTTCGGGCCTAGCCAATCTCGACCCCCGACCCTAGTCATAGCCCCAGAACTCAATCCCGATCCCAAACACTAATTCTGATCTCAAATCTAGATACCACTCTAACTATACCCAAAAGAGCAATATTATGTGGATTTAAAAAATAGATTTAAAAATTAAATTTGATAATTAGAACTATTAATTTCACTGTGGGTCTCAGCATTTATTGAGACTTACTACCTATTCAATGGTGGAGATTATCAAGTCTAATTTTTAAATCTAATTTTTAAGTCCATCTAATATTACTCTACCCAAAAACATGAATCATAGCCATAAATCTTTTGTTGATTTATTTGTGACTAATGATCTTGAAAATAACGTGAAATAGTAAAATATAAGTTATTTCACCCGTATCTTTTTTAATTTTTTTTTCTTGGTACCTAATTAAACACTACTGAGTAAAAAAAAGGATGAACCCTATACTTATACGTTGATGTGGTCAATAGCATAGTGCGCTTGACTTTGACATAAAAGGTGATGAATCAAGTCATCCTCCTTATCTATAAGCACGTTATTCATAGCTTTATAAAAGGTGTTACAAAGTCTTTACCGGAAGATTAATGTTACACTTATCAAAATTATGGACTAAAAAGAGTGATCAAATGACATGATTAAATGACATGACAAGTAACGTGGAAGACGGCTGAACAATTGTTGTGCAATATTGAATACCCACGTTATGCAAATCAAGGAAAGAAGTGAATTAATATTGCACACTAATCAGTTTGTCACCTTCCACGTCACCTGCTATGTTAGTTGGTCACTTCTTTTTTGTCCCTAATTTTAGTTAGTGTAACATTATTCTTCCCAAAAACTATTGTAATTCACATCAAGATTAATAAGTCTAATTTGGAGCAATGTTGTTGGGACCTAATTTAGTGACTTAATTCACTATGATCTTTGGATTGACCGTGAACTTTATCAAACATTAGAACTTGGTGTTAATCCAATGATTCCAATAAAACCACATTATTAGTTCAATAAATTATGTCTAATTTTTAAGTCCAAATAATATTACCCGTCTAAAATGTGCGATACCTGTGGGACAATCCCCTGATGCAAGTGCGGCGGCGAAACGTTCCAATCAGGACCATTAATCACCAAAAGACCATATTTTATAAATAAAATTATTAAAATTTGATATTTTTAAATTTATTCATCGGACTATGACATTTTTTAAAAGTGTATGTAATAACATCGCTTTCGTTAACAAATGGAATCAACAACTCTGTTTTTAAATAAAAAAAATTAGGCATCGAGAAAAGCGTGTTTAGTAACACGTTTTTTTATGAAAAACAAGTTTAATAAACACTTTTTCACACAAAACAATTCTGCATCTGTCTTCTTCTGCTGTTATGTTAGCTAGCTTATTGTGAGGATCCTGAGATGGTGAATCAGAGTTCAACACATTAAAGGACAATACTCCAAAGGAAATCATTGAATCTCATTTGATGGGGGAAATATGAAATTACAAAGTCTCACTCTGATTTGGGAAGATGAAGTGGTTCTCTCTCTTCTCCAAAGAACAGCAAAACCCATCTCTTTCGTGAAAACCCATTTCTAATGGTTTTTGATGTATCTTGAAGATGAATGAGTTGTTCTCTCAATACTCAATAGAAATTAAAACTGTTTTTATAAATTTTTTCTGGGTGAATACCCATCTGTAAGTGCTCTGCCGTTGCAACACATTTTTGTGTTCCGCAATCTTCTCTACGCCTTTGTCTAACTTACCTTCTGTTTTTTTGTCTTGAAAACCCAGATTTATTGAGTAATCAAATATATGTGATTTCTTGCTTTTCTTGTTTGGGATAGATTGATTCATGAAGTATTCCTTGTTCTCGGTGTTTTACTCCTTTTGGGTACTTGTTATTCTTGCTCGTGGGTAGATCAGGAGAGAGAGAGAAAGGGAGGGAGAGAGAGAGTCTGATGGCGAATCTATTATCAATTTATCAATGTACAGCTGTTTTAAAACATATATACCAAAATACAATATTTTTAAACTTATTTACTAATCTATAACAATTTTGAAAAGCAGACGAAACAATCCCACTTTTATTAAAAAACGGATTTATCAATCCCCTTTTTTTATTAGAAAAAAAAAAGGTGGGTAGTTGAAAAAGACTGGTTACTAACCACGCTTTTTACACCTTTTCGCACAAAAGAGTATTACGTTTTAACACAAACTCTGAGTAGTTCGATTCATTTTAGTGGCCATGAGCTCGTCATCCTCCACCCAACCGAAAAAGAAAAAATAAAAGACATTGGGATGTAATGTGCTTTCTTGAAGGGTTCTGGGTGTGGAGATTTTGAAGGATTTTCTTATAAGGGTCTGTATTATTGGCTGATTTTTGACAGATGTAGTTGCAAAATGCCTATGCTTCAGCCTTCAAAGAGGGCTGGGGTTGTGGGGTTTGAAGGTGGTGGTGATAGGCAGGTTCTAGATCTAGAGACTACCGTTAAAGATGGTGTTTTGGGTGGTCTTGGAGGAGGCTGTTTCGGTGTTGGGGTTGGAGAGAAATTGGATCTAAAGAAGATGATTAAAGAGCTCAATTTGCCAGAAGTTCCATTTGTGTTTATTTGCTCAATTTCCCTTGAACCTATGCAAGACCTAGTGACCCTTTGCACTAGACAGACCTATGAGAGGTCCAACATTTTCAAATGGTTCAGCTTGGGGCACTACACTTGGCCCACTACTATGCAAGAGCTTTGGGATGAGTTGGTTACTCCAAATAAGACTTTGCACCATTTAATTCATACTTGGTTTTCACATAAGTAATTGCAGATGAAGAAGAGATCAGAAGATGTGTAGGGGATAACTTCCGGAACAAAATGATCTTTCGTGCAAAAAAGTGTAAAAAGCGTGGTTAGTAATCACGCTTGTTCCACTACACACTTTTTTTTTTTGTCTAAAAAAGCAGGATTGATAAATCTATTTTTTAATAAAAGCGGGATTGATAAATTTGCTTTTTAATAAAAACGGGATTGTTACGTTTGCTTTTAAAAATTGCTATAGTTTGATAAATAAGTACAATAGTTTAATAAATAAGTTTAAAAATACTATATTTTGATATATATGTTCTAAAACAGTTGTACATTTGGTAATAGATTCAAAGACCATAGCGAACATAAGGCGTACTGTCGATACTGTTCACCGGGAGAAGACGTACAAAGAGAAAAAAACAGAGTAGGACCAACACGTTTTTATTTCTCGGTGATTTTTGAAAAGAGTGTCAACCACGCTTTTTACAAAGAACAGTTTTTTCATTCCCTGCCTTTTATATAAACCTGTGATTGTTGAATCCGCTTGTTAATAAAAATAGATTTATTGAATTTGTTTTAAAAAGTGTCATAATTTAATAAATAAATTCAAAAATATCGTATTTTAGTAATTTTATTTTAAAATTACGGTTTGTTGTTAAATAACTCCTCACTTTCGATGGCTTTACTTAGAAGTCATTTTCAACATAAAATGTTGGTGACAATTTCTACAAGCCTTTGAAAATTCCTTTTTTGTTACAGACTTTCTGATGTTAGAATTTTTCTTATATTGAATTTCTATTAATTGATAGTTAATTTTTAGTTTGTAAAAAATAGGCTGATTTATGGTCCAATAAGATGAGCCAAATATTATTAAGTGGTCTATTTTGATGGGCTTATATACATCTTGTAATTGATGTGGTTTAGGCGGTTAAATGTAGACCTTAATCTAATTGTGGCCCGTAATAAGAGAACCTATTAGATTTCATTATAAATAGCACGCTAGATCCCCTCTCCACTTTATAACCCTAAATTGTCTTGTCTCATTGAGAGCCGCTTACTGATTTGAAAAAGAAGAGGAAGACTTTGTCCTTTCGTAAAAGATACCTAAAGATCGAATATCATGACTCATACAAATATATTCTAAACCTTATAATTTAGGTGTTCTAAATTTTATATATAAATTATTAAAATTTTTACATGTGGTATCAGAGCCTATCATATATGAGTTTAGAATCTAATTTATTATATTATTATTATTATTATTATTATTTTATTTATATAATTTGGGATCTCAAAATATTTTTTGTGATGACGCGACATGGAATTCTCATCACCGTCAATGGTTTGGGTGAATCAAGGCTATTGTTATTGTGATCAAGGTTACTGGTTTGGGTGAATCAAGGCTATTGTTATTGTGATCAAGGTTACTGTTGTTCTTGTGATTAATATTATGCGATGTTGGCGGCATTGTTTTTCTCAAAATAGTAGTTTTCAATAGTCATCATTAAATATAGTTATATACGTCAACAAAAAAAAAAAAGAGAAAAAAGGTAAAAGTATAAAAAAAGTGGCCAGTATGTCACAAGAAGAAAGATAAAAAAAAAAAAAGGAAAAGGGTGAAAGCATAATGGCTTTCGTCATTGTTTTTTTGAACAAAGTGTTCAAAATTTTACTCAAGAATTATTTGACTTTTTGTTTTTAATAGATTATTTATTGCTATGTTTTAAGTTATATCAAACATGACATTGGTACAATATCAAATACCATGTCTAGAATTGATGTTGAAACTTTTATTTGATTATGTCATATTCGATCGGCCTATTAAATTTTATTAATTATTTATTGGTCTAATTGACGAATAAGCATATGCTTTATTCATACAAATTATTTTCTCATATTGATGCAACTTTGATTGAATTACTATAGTTTGTAGAGGGTGTTTGTACAATTCTAAATTTAGTCCTTAGTGTTTTATATGATGAAATTTTTTTTATAATCTACATATTATTCATTCAATGTTAGTAAATGTGAATTTAAATTATTTAATTTTAATAATAAAAATAAAATTGAGACTTGAATGCAACGATTGATGATGGATGAACTATAGAGGTATACATTAGTTAATACCACATATTGATTGATCACATGATATTTAATTATAGGCAATTTGTTATAATATCTCAGTTTGAAAAATTTTATGAGTTAAGATGAATGGTTGCCACCAAAGTAGTCAATTCATTAAAATTTATAGATTGTTCTCATACTTTTGTTACGGGATAGCCTCTAAATTGTAATATATAATTACCTGCCCAAAGGGGGTTATTGTGTATTATAATTTGGATATGTCATAAAACATTGTGGTAGAGGTGCAATAGTCTAGAAAATTTATCTGCCCAAATGGGATAAATTTTTTAAAACTTGAGCATTCTCATTGGTTAGTTTCATGAAAGTGAGGACCTATAATATATTGCATTCTCTGCCCAAATGAGAGTTTACAGTGATGTATTTGGACTCTCTTAATAAAATGTGACTTATTATATTCAAAGCATATTTTATTTATATATTACCCAATTTTGCTAATTTTTTATATTCTTGTTATCTTGAAGAGTCTCTTTTGCTATGAATAATAATAATGCCAACATTGAAATCTTGACTAGTTCTAATTATAAGAGATGGAAGTAAGATATTGAGTTTGTCCTGAGAATTGCTGATGTAAACTTTGCCTTGAAAGAGAATGAATCTCCTAAACCTGATAGTGAAAGTTCCCCTAAAGTAAAAGAACTTTATGCAAAGTAGGAGAAATTTAATAGGCTGAGTATAATTGTCATGAAAAAGTCTATTTTCTGAACACTTTATGAGTGACTTGCTTGAAACCAATAATGCCAAGGAGTTCTTTACCTCTGTAGGAGAGAGATACAAGGTACCCAACAAGACTAAAGTTGGAGGCCTAATGAATGAATTAACGAATATAAAATATGACAATGTACGTGGTGTTAGGAAATATATCCTTAGAATAGTCCATATTTAAACTAAACTCACATCCTTCAAAATTGTTATTTATGATAATTTCATTGTTCATCACACTTTTAACTCTTTGCCTTTTGAGTTTAGTCAAATTAAAATTGCCTACAATATCCAAAATAAGTCATGGAAAATAAATGACCTCATCTCCAAGTGTGATTCTGAGGAAGAAAAACGTAGAAAAGAAAAGAGTGAAATTGTCTTGTTTGTTTTCCAACCTAAATCTTGTTTCGAAGATGAGTATCAAGAAAATAATAGAAATACTAATCGTAATGCTCCAAAGAATGGTTGGTATTTCAAAAGGCATGGTATTAGTTAAAATGTGGAAGGTTTTAAGGCTGTCAATCGAAAAGATGACAAGTGTTACTTTTTGCAAAAAATGAGGTCACAAGAAAATGACTGCACACGATTCAAGTCTTGGTTAGAAAAAAAAATTAAGAAGAAGGTAATTCACTAGTCTTTGTTTGCTTTAAATCCAATTTAGTTAATATCCCATTAAATTTTTGATTGATTGATAGTGGAGTTTCAGTTCATGTGGCCATGACTTTATAGAGATTCACAAGTAAACGAAGGCCAAGTGAAGGGAAAACCAAATTTAAAGTATGAAATAATAATGAAGTCTATGTTAAGTTCATAGGAATTATTAAGTTGAATTTAGACACTGGTTTTCAACTTGTTTTAGAAAATACTTTTCATGTACCGTCATTTAGGCAGAATTTGATTTCAATTTCCTTACTTGATAAAATTGGATATTGTTTTAATTTTAGTAATGGTAAAACTCAATTGTCTTTAAATTCTAAAATTGTTGGTCTTTATATTTTATTAGATAGTCTATATAGTATATGTTTGCCAGTCAATAACAAATATGGTTCTTTAAATATTGTTAATGTTGTATCTAAGAGACCTCTCAATAAAGAAAAATTTTCACAATTGTAGCATAAAAGTTTGGGTCACATTTTTAGAGAAAAAATAGAAAGATTAATAAATAATGATATTCTTTCTCCCCTTGATTTTGAAGACCTTGAAACTTGTGTTGACTGTATTAAGGGTAAATTGACCAATACTAAGAAGAAATATGCAATTCGCAGTCTAGATCTTTTATAAATCATTTACACTGATATCAATGGACCTTACTCACGTACCTTGTATGGTAATAAATATTTTATTACATTTATTGATGATTTCTCTCATTATGGATACATTTATTTAAGTAATGAAAAATCTGATGCCCATGAAAAATTTAAAATTTTCAAAACTGAGGTAGAGAAACAATTAGGAAAAGTCATCAAAATTGTTATGTTTGACCGTGGTAGTGAGTATTATGGCAAACATGACATCTCTGGACAACGTTTGAGACCGTTTGTCAAGTACTTGCAAGATTGTGGGATTGTTGCCCAATATACCATGCTTAGTAGTCCCTAAGCAGAATGGTATGACTGAAAAGGATAATCGCACCTTTAAAGACATGATGAGGAGCATGATGAGTATGTTTAATTTACTGGATTATCTTTGGAGAGAAGCTATTAAAATAGCTTCATATATTTTTAATGGAGTTCCTAGCAAATCTATTCCATAAACACTTTTTGAATAATGGACCAATAGGAAACCAAGTATTAACCATTTTCGAGTCTGAGGTTGTCCTACTGAGGTCAAAATCTATAATCCTTTTGAAAAAAAAGATTGATCTCAAAACTATTCGTTGTTTTTTCATTGGTTACCCAAAACATTCAAAAGGATACCGGTTCTATTGTCCTACACGTGGTACTAAAATTGTTGAGTCTTTAATAACAAAATTTATGGAGCTTGATATTGTTGATGTTGGTTGTTCACAGTCTATTAGTGAGCATGAATAAGGTAAATTTATTTCTATTCCTTTACTTGTTGTGCAAAAGAATATTATGCATGCTTCTATTTTTAATTTTCCTATTCCAGTTGTTGATCCTCCTGTTTCTGCAATTGACCCTTATGTTCCTATTGAGACTCCTCAGCCTTTAGAGTCTACTATTAAAATTTCCTTGAGAAAGTTTACATGACCAAGGAAACATATTATTTCTGATGAATTTTATGTATATTTTAGAGAAGTGATTATGATATTGGTGATATTGTAAATCCTGTAACATACTATGATGCTATCACTTGTCCTCAGTCTGATATAAGTAGATGCCATGAAAGATGAGATAGTAAGTTCTCTTGATTTTGTTGAGAACAAGATATATCAATGCATATATCTTAAGACCAGTGGAAGCAAATTTATTTTTCTTATTCATTATGATGATGATATTTTGCCTGTAAGTAGTGATTTGGGTTTACTTTATGAAATTAAACAATTGTTGTGCAAAATATTTGACATAAAAGATCTTGGAAAAATATCTTTTATATTAGACATTCAAATTCATTGGGATAGGAGTCGTAGATTGTTGAGACTTTCTCAAAGGGCATATATAGATCATGTACTTGAAAGATTTAATATGCATAATTATAAGTTTAGGGATGTATCTGTTGTGAAAGGTGATAAATTTAGTTTAAGTCAATGCCCTAAGAATGGTATTGAGGAGGAGTATATAAAGAATATACCTTATGCGAGTACTATTGGCAGTTTAATGTATGCACAGGTTTATACCAGGCCTAACATTGCTTTTGCAGTTAGTGTTCTTGGTAGATATATTTCTATACCAGGATTAGATCATTGAGTGTCAGTTAAGAAAGTTATGAGATACTTGTAAAAAACAAAAAAAATATATACTTGTTTGTAGGAAAGTTGATAGTCTTGAGGTGATTAGTTATTCAAATTCAAATTTTGCTGGGTGTCCGAATGATTTAAAATCCATTTCAGGATATATTTTCATGTTAGCTGGAGGAGCAATAATATGGAAGAGTGTTAAACAAACTCTCACAGTTTCTTCCACTATTCAAGCTGAATTTGTAGTTTGTTACAGAGCTGCAACACTAACTATATAGCTAAAAAATTTTATTTCAAGACTTATGATTGTTGATTCCATCTCTAGACCACTAATAATTTATTATGATAATAGTGTAAACATATGGAAATTAAATATTTTTTTACTAGGGATCTTGTGAAGAAATGTGACATTGTGATTAAACATATTGATACAGAATCAACGCTTGCTGATCCTTTAACCAAGGGATTGAGACCTGTAACTTTTAAGAAACATGTTGACAACATGAGCATTTTAGGGTCTTTTGTTGTACTTGGTTAGAAAGAGTTTATTTATGTGTTAAGAACTTTAATATTGATTTAATTTCATATGTGATAATTGATACTCAATATGAATGGGATATATCTATTTGATGAATAATAAATATTTTGATAATTATCTTTATTGTTAGCATGATATTCTTGCAATGTTATATGTGTACGCATTTATGACATGTCATTTTATACAAAATCTTAAGATTTGATGTATGTCTTAAGTATGATTGTTTTGTCAATTGAGTATGTCTCTGATTACACCATTTGAAAAAATCTTGTGATTTTAAGTTTAAAAACATACTAGCTTATTGTTGAATCTAATGGATTTCTCTAACTTATTGTTGAAACATGTTGTTAAAGAAAAATCATTTGAAGGACCGATAATAAAAATAACATGTTTATCAGATCACATATTAAGATGTTATTTTCTTGTTATACTATCACATCTTGAACTTAATCTCTGTCAATAGAATTATAATTTTTTGTAATCATGGATTGGTACTATCTCAGTAACAGATGTAAAGACTATTCTGTTTCGAAAATAGTAGTTTTATTGGACCGGGTCGTGTTTGAAATGTTGTCTCAGGACCATATTACTTTTATTGTGGTCACATTGAGTTTTGTTTGATTAGCTTGAAAGTCATTTTTCAAATATATATATATTTATTTATTTATTTATTTTTAAATGACTACAATTAATGTCGTGTAAGTAGAAGAATGTTGGAATTTTTCTTATATTGGATTTTCATTAGTTGATAGTTAATTTTTAGTTTGTGAAACACGAACTGAATTTATGGTTTAATAAGATAAGCCTAATATTATTAAGTGATCTATTTTGATGGATTTATGTACATTTTATGACTTTCATCATTGTTTTTTTGAACAAAGTGTATGAAATTTCACTCAAGAATTATTTGACTTTCTTACATGTGATTATGCACCCTTTTTTTATACATGCAAGATATTAAAAAAAATGATTTGAGGTAATTGATCGTCTTGGTAATAGAAAATGATTTTAGCCCATTTATCCATTTTGAATTTAAATATAATCATTGATCATAAGATAGTAAACATTATACATATTATGTATTAATTAGAAAAAACAGGCATGCCATGGAAAAATAATTTTTGTAACTGCAGTTGGACCTATAAATGCTTATCTATTCCATTTAGCTTCTTCTGTCATTAACTGAGTTTCACGTTCACACAATTCTTCAAATCGATCTGAGCAATCTCTCTCTCCCCCTCACACACACACAGAATTTTTCGAAAATGATCTAAGCAATCTCTCTCTCTTCCCATCTGCACAAACCTTGTGCAAGAATGAATATCAAAAACAGTTCATGTTTCATGATATCAGTGTTCTTCCTTTGTTTCTTTCTCAACACCCATCTCACCTATGGAGCTGACTCCATATCTGCATAGGCAAGTGGTACAAAAAAATCTCTCTCCAAACAAGAGTTTGGGTAGCCAATCAAGATAGACCCATCTCTGATAAGTTCTCTTCAGAACTCACAATTTTACATGGTAACTTGGTGCTTCTCAATGAGTCTGGAGCACCAATTTGGTTCTCAATGTGTTTGGAGCACCAATTTGGTCCACTAATTTGAACTCCACCACCTCAAATTCTTCAGTAGCTGTTCTTCTTAATGATAGGAATTTGGTTTTGAGAGAAACCCCAAATCCATCAGAACCAATTTGGTAGAGTTTTGATTACCCAACTGATACATGGTTGCTTGGTATGAAGATTGCATATAATAAACGAACACAAAGTAACTTCGTACTTCATGGAAGAACCAAGAAGATCCTGCACCAGGATCGTTTTCTTTGGAGTTAGACCCAAATGGCATTTAGTATCTTATAACGAGGAATAGAACTGAATAGTACTGGACTAGTGGGCGTTGGAATGGGCAAATTTTCGGCTTAGTACCCGAAATGAGGTTGAATTATATCTACAACTTTAGCTATGTAAACAATGAGAATGAGAGTTATTTTACTTATTCTCTGAATAATCCTCAAACTATATAGATTTATCATGGATGTTTCGGGGCAAGTCAAGCAACTCGCATGGGTTGCCCACTTCCGTTTCGTAGAATTTGTTTTGGTCTCAAACAAGACAACAATGCGAGGTTTATTGAAGCCGGACAGAATAATGATTGTTCTACAGGTTAGATTCAACAAATAATTCACAGAGAAGAATACAAGAGAATCGCCCAAAAAGAACTGACTAAGCAGTCACAATCTTTATAAAATTAGAATAATGATAGTTAACCCTAAAACGCATGAAAACATCATTTAAATACTAAACAATAAATTGAAAATCCTAATTACGCAAGAAAATAATTAAATTACGAAAAAATCAAAATAAACTCAAAAATAGAAAAAAACTTCGGAAGGCCCAAACATACGTTTCCAGGCCTTTTTTGGCTTTAAATAGTGCCTCTCACTGCCATAGGCTATAAGTCTTGTAGGACTCGTCGAAAGTTTCGATTTGATATATTATGGGCCTTAAAATTCCAAACGGATAAAAAAAAACAGTGTTAGCCCTTCTTAAACTTGGAATTTTAATTGTGTTAATCTGCTAACTCAAGGTATCTCAAAACGATCAACGTGTCATCTGATAACTCAGTATCGTCGGACTCGTATCCCCCTGCATCATTTATGCTTTTTGTGGGGCTTTTGGCACCTGTGTTCAGAATTCACTGCCCTTTTGTTATTGTGTGAAGGGTTTCACGCCTAGATCGGATAATGATTGGAACCTGATTGATTATTCCGGTGGGTGTGTGAGAGAAACTGGCCTGCAATGCGGGAATGCAAGTGCAGGTAATGGGAAGAGAGAGAGCTTTTGGGTGCAAAATCAAATGGTTTTGCCCCAATATTCTCAACCAGTGGCAGTTCGTGGTGCTGCAGAATGTGAATCCACCTGTTTGAACAACTGCTCTTGCACTACCTATACTTACGACAGCAGTGGGTGTTCAATCTGGGTTTTAGACCTCTTGAATCTGCAACAACTTCCACAAGGTGATGGTAGTGGGAGAACAATCTATATCAAACTTAATGCCTCAGAGTTTCCTAGTAGTAAAAACAAAATGTGGATTATTATAGGTGCAGATGTGGGTTCAGTTGTAGTTCTACTCGTGGCCTTAATCCTTGTGTGGGTTGCAATTCGGAGATGGCGAAGGAGATTGGTCAAAGGCAGGTGAGGGTTCATTGGCGGCTTTCGGCTACAAGGATTTGCAAAATGCGACCAAAAATTTCTCAGAAAAATTGGGCGGAGGAGGTTTTGGCTCTGTTTTCAAGGGAACATTGCCTGATTCAACCGTCACCGCTGTGAAGAGGCTTGAAAGCATCAGCCAAGGAGCGAAGCAGTTTCGGACAGAAGTTAGCACAATTGGGGCAGTCCAGCATGTCAATCTTGTACGGCTTCGTGGGTTTTGCTCTGAAGGTGATATAAAGTTGTTGGTATATGATTACATGCCAAATGGCTGATTGGAATCCCATCTTCTCCATGACGAGGGCCAACACGTTTAACTCGAGTATTAAAAGTCTTTACTTAAATATTGAATACTAATTATTGTCTGTGCTTCAAGGCACAAAGTAATAAAAAATAAAAAATAAAAAATATATTTATATTCATATTTAAAAATCAAATCACAAACATAGAGAAAAGATAAAAAAAATTTAAATATCGATTGTAGTGGATAACAATGGTGGTGATAAGAGACGGTGATGGTTGTGGTGTGTGGCAATGACCGTGGTGGCGACGAGAACGACGACAATAGTGGTGGCGGAAGTGACGATAGTGGTGGTAGTGGTGGGTGGCAATGACCGTGGTGACGGCGAGGGCGGCGACAATGGTGATGGCGATAGTGGTAGTGATGATGGCGGGGTGGCGGTGGTGGTGATGGGCGTGGCAGTGGTGATGACGGTGGTGGTGGTGGTGGTGGTGGTAGTGGTATAGCGATTTCAAACACTATTTAAAAAAAAATATTTATAAAAAATAATTTTTAAAAATATTTTTAAAAAGTCACTCAAAACACACCATTAGGGATCTATTTTTATTATTAAATTAAGGGTGTTAATATTAAATGTTAGAATAACTTTAAAATAAAATTTAAAGTAATTTCAACCGCGAATAATAAAAGTCATTTTGTTTATTTTTGAGATTTGTATATTTTGGATTGAATTGGGTTTGTTTTCGGGTTAACCACTCAAAAAGCGAGCTGATCCAGCGAAACTTCACCACTTAGGCAACTTGGCTTTTCTCCCAAAGGAACTTAGCCTCTGTTTAATACGGAGGAAACGGGTACATGGAAAAGAGGAGGGAAAGTAGTATTTTCCTTTGTTTGGTTAAAAAGAAAAAAGTAAAAATGGAAAGGAAAAGTGCATTCCGTCCCGTCCACCAAATCTAATCCGTCCGATTTCAGGCAAAAAATTGGAAAGAGAAAGTGAACTAATCATTACAACTGATAAATTTATTCTTTTGCACTCCTAGTGGCTGCTTGTTGATCATGGTTTGAAAAAGAAATTCATGTGGGTCCATGGCACTTTGTTATCTCCAACGGACGGGCAATCTTTGGTGGGATCTATATGCCATCTCTTTTTTACTAACTTAAGGGTAGTTATGGTATTCAACATATAATATTACTTTATGATTTTGTTTTTCATGCCAAATAAATACATGAATTACTCTAGACCTTCTAAAGTTTTCCACTTAATCATTCAAATCCCTTACCATTTAAAATATTACACACAAACTCCTTGAGATTTATATGTGCGTAACACTTAGATTATATCATCAATTATTCGTTAATATATTTGTTACTAAATTATACTCAAACACATTGATGTTTGTAGGCGTATAATATTTATATTCCTTAAGTTTAAAATATTATATTAAAACAAAAAATACTCTAATCAAAGATAGAATATCAAATATTTTACATTTTAAAACCAAAATTTTTATTATATTGTATCATTTATTGAAATAAAATAAAAAATAAAATGTCAATTTTTTCTTAAAAAATCGTAATTAGCATACAATTATACTATAATTTCGTCGTTCAGAAAACCAAATTAAATTTTAATAAATAGTATAATTATATATTAATTATGATTTTTTTAAGAAAAATTAAAATTAAAATTTTAATTTTATTTCAATAAATATCATAATAGAACATAAATTTTGGTTGTAAAATTTAAAATAATTAATATTTTATTTTTGATCAGAGTATTTTAGTCTAAATATAATATTTTAAACTTGAGGGGTTTAAATATTATACACTTATAAACTTTAGGGGGTCTAGATATAATTTATTAACAGATATACTAATGGATATTGATAGTAGGGGTTTAAATATTGCACGCGTACGAATCTCAGGGGGTCTGTGTATAATATTTCAAACGTTAGTGGATCTGTGAAATTTAAGTGACAAATTTCAACAAGTCTGAGTGTAATTCTCTTAATAAACTAAAATAAAATACATTCATTCTACTTTTTTTTATCATTTCTACCAAGCAAGGAGAAAAAATATATTTTTTCTATTAATAGTGGAAAACTTATTCCCTCTATTTTTTTATTTCTCTTATTTTTCATTTCTCTTACTAAATATACTAAAGAAGGTCTTTAGTGACTATAGAAAGAAAGAAAAAAGTTAGAATAAGAAAAATATTGCATAATATTTACTTTTCTTGAACTTCGTTATAGGCAAGGTGAGCACTCTTTTTTTGCTCACAGACAAGGATCCGATGAAATTATATAGGAAGGAAACTGCATATCAGTGATTAAGTCCATTGATGCTTTTGATGTAGATTTTTCGCCTCTAGGTGCCATTCTACTGGACATCAAGTTTACCAAGTTGAATTTTAGATAATTTTAGTTATCCAATGGGCGTAGAATGAGAAATAAAGTTGCACAAAACTTAGTTAGAAATGTCGGTTTTGTTTTATGTTTTATGTATACCAGGAAGAGGCACCCGATTTCATTGTGTCTTCTCTCCTCTCAAATATTTCAAATTAATAAAATTACTACCGTTTCTATTAAAAAAAGAAAAGAAGGAAAAGTCAGAAATTGATGAAACTTATCATAGTGTCTCAGCCCTGAATTTGAAACTAGCAAATATAGAAGCTTTTCTATCAATATTCAAACCCCAAACACAAAACACAACACAGAGGAGAATGATTTACATTTTACAATTATCTCTAGGCAAGGCTATATCAGAATATGTGGGGGTTATTATGGTTGCGAGAATATAATGAGTGTGAGAATGGAATAGAATGTATAATATTATTTTAAAGTTTGATGACAATTAGAATTAAGTGTTAGAATAAAATTAAAAATTCATTCAAATATTTAGATAAATCAACCTTTTTATTAAATTAAATTAAAGATTATCAAAATACTCTTAATGAGATTAAAATAATATACTTTTTTTAATGTCCTTACCTCAGAGCCTATGACCAAGACCAAGCCAGACCTTTGGACCGAAATTCTGAATCAGGACCCACTCTCGACACTAGACCCCGATGCAAAGTTGACTAGGGCTCGGAATAGACCCATCACCTGGACTTCGACACGAACTTGGCCTCCAAGTTGATATCGATTCGAACTGGAACCTAAACCTAGATTTGATTTGGATTTTAAACATGAACTCGAACCTGACCCGGCCCAACTCAACCCAAACATAAACCTGAGTTCTAGCCCCTAGACTTAGACCCATACGAGTAAGGATGTTCATGAACCGGGTTGAACTAGGCTCTTAAAATTTTTTTTGGACCGGAACTGGATAGTGTAGACCCAAATCCTTACCCAAGTGTGTTACACCCCTACCTTGGATCACATAGGGTAGGCGGCGGATCTGCTATCAAGGCCTTAACCAATCAACTCTGTGCATAATAAATACAAAATACAACAGAAGATAAATAATAAAGTGACACTTTATTGATCTAATGAATACTAGAAGAATAAACTAATTATTACTAACATCATTACTAAATTCATATAAAGTAATAATTAAATCGTAAAATTTACTACTCTAAGCATAGACAACATTGTCCCCAAAATAATTGAATATTTATCTTAAAACTATAAGACATTTATTCATGAAGACTTACAATAAAATAAATCTGCAATTCTTCTAATCTATGGTTTATCCGCAGACTTACTCTTCATCCTGATCCTGTTCTAAAAAATGTTAAATGTTTGGATGAGCATAATGACCCGTGAATAACAACCACCTTTAATGATGTGTGAAAATAAATCTCACAGTTTATATATAAACATAAACTTTGACAAATACATAAGTAAAACAAATTATACCCCACCCCCTCCCACATAATCATGTAAACAAAATGATCTCATGATAACAAATAACTTTATAAATGAAAAAACATTTATAACTCAAAACACCCATTCATTTTCACAAATAACTTTATAAATGAAAAGATATTTATAACCCAAAACACTCACACGCACATTCAACCCCAAATATATTTGTCAAATCATGTTTGTTATCACTAGTATGGTAACTGACCTTGTCTCTTGTTACCACTAGCCTGGTAACTAGTCTCATCTCTTGTTACAACTAGTCTGGTAACTGACTTCGTCTCTTGTCATCACTAATCTACTGACTGACCCCTATGTGCACATCCCTATACAGATCACACCGATATACAGTCTCCTTACCATTTAGACTTGGTAACTTAGTCCCCATCTTATAAAGCATGATTTTTCACGCACACAAAAACTGTCGTTTTAGTCCCAATACATACAAAATTTTTCTTTTATCACCAAACAATGATATAAAATTATCCCACAAAATTTTCAAAATTCACATTTATAACAGTTTACAATTGCAAAACATTTAATTGTAATCCAAAATATCAACACATTATATCATATATATGAAAAATTTAAACACACGCACCGACACATTTAATATAGAAAATTCTCCCAAAAGAAGTAATAAATTACTCACATTTATTTACAAAAATCCAATTCAAAACCCTCTTTCTCAACCTCAATGCCATCACCACCTAATCCAAAATAATATATAACAATCAATCCTTATTCTTAATTTCGTCGTTTCGCGATTTTATAGTTAATTTTTATATTTTCTACCCATTGATATATACTTAATCCTTTATAGATAAATATCCTTTATAATATGAGGTAATAGTGTATAGAAGTAGTTTGAGCTGTTCAGAAAAAATTTCTAAAATTTTAAGGTCAAATCATAATTTTTAAAATTTTGGGGTTAAAGTATAATTTCTTTGAAAAAGGAACTTTCTGTTTTCGACGCTGTCATAAATTTTCTAAACTTCTATTCTTCCGATTTACCAAGTAAAATAGTGGTTAAAATTAAGTTTAAAAGAATATAAGGGTCAAAGTAAAACTCTTTAAAACTAAAGAGATGTTTCTATAATTTTAAGAAACCCATCTACTCCGCCCACCGAAACTTGTAACTTTCTTTCTTCTTCCCCTTTTTTTT